GCCAGACAATTTGGCGGGCCGTTCTAGCAAAAAGTTCTAGACAAGTACTCAGGATAAAACGGAAGGCGATAAAATGGTTCGACAGACACCAGATCTGTTACGGACTAACTTTTCCATTGAGATCTGTTATCTTGTTAAACAAAATGATTTCTATTCTTTTTATGTTTAGATTGATTTTTGTTTAGTGGACTCTGCTAATAAGTTTGCTTATGGGTAATGTTTGTGTACATCGTAGTCAACATTTGTAATCGATTCAGATAAGGAAGAAATCAAATTTTAATTAAGTTTTGGTAAACTTATCGAAACATAACAAAAGAAGCGTCATAATTTAATAAGGTATCCTAACTAAGACTGCCTCAATGGCCGAGTGGTCGCAAGTGCGACTGCCGGGCAAGGAGTCTCGGGTTCGATTCCCGGGTCGGGCAAAATATTACTGGGTTTTTAAAAAAAATCTCATTGGTAGCACGGAGTCTGGAAATGTGCCCGGTATATGGCAATAGGCTCACCCCCTAGATTACATGGGACTCATAACATAAATAGTGAAAAGTGGGTGTTACTTCTGTGTACACCTCTGCCTACCCCTTTGGGGATAAAAGGTGTGATGTTATGGTTATAGTATCCTAACTTCTACTTTCCTGTGCATAAAACAACCATAGAAATTCTTAACTCACTAAAATTCAAGATAAATGAAGAAACAAGAATTTTAATGTACACAAACATGTGTGTTAACGCCGCCTATAAACGTAATACTTGATGTTCTAACCTAACAGTTCGAAATTGTCGACAGAACAACTTGAATCCAAATATCCAAATTATACGAACAAACAGCAATCTTAAACCACTCGTATTAGTAGTATACTGTTAAAAGTCAAAGGCACATAACATGTCTACTTATGGGTGTTATTAGCCAACTTCAGTCCTTTGTTCCGCAGTAACGACAATAATGTCTCCTCACTACCCAAAATGGGTTTATTGCTCAAATTTTATTGTTGTTTTTATTGCTGTATAGTTCACCTGATGAGACATTACTGTATTGCGAGGTTACGGCTGTTTGAGTCACACTATTCAAGTGTCGAAAAATTGTCTTAAAGATCTATTAAGATATCTACTCGTGCTATCTTGAAAATGTAAAAAAATATTGAGAGTATCATCTAAATGACGGCGCTCGTCTATAAGGAAATCGAATTCAATTTTGGTCCGTAATCAAGATACTAAAACCTGCGGAATTTAAACCAATAGACGAGACAGGCAGGGCAGGTTCATCAAAATTCTCCAATCAAACAAAAGAAATATCGCTGACAGCCCCGAAAAATCTTTGGTCCTTTGATTCGCAATACGTTTGGTCCTTCAGGAATCTTCCTTCATTTCCACATAGATGGAGCCTCTGGCCGAATATGATTAATTCATCGACCATACGTCAGTGTGGTGTCGAGTCAGCTTCGACTAGTGATAGGTTATTTGCTTAATAACGTGGTCACTTTCAGGCAACTTCCTTTTTTATGTGAGAAGAATCAGGGTGTTTGTATGCAGTTCAAGTTTGTAAAATTTTGTTAAATGGAATACTCCGAGAATGTGTATAGCTTTTTTAGTTTTATAACCTTAACATAACAGTTTTCTATAAATAAAGCAAATCAAAATAATATACATGAACTACCACTACTTCACTATAATATGAGCTATCAATAAATTATAAATTCCATTGTTATACTTCAATTTCCTTGTCAGTAAAGAAAAATATAACTCGAACATAATATTTTTCTTCCATTATTATGTAACGAAATGAATCCAGACAATATTTTTCATCATAATAAATTGACTTAAAACAATTTCATTTTTATTAGTTTATTTGCTCAAAGACATTTAGTGTCATTACTCATATTAGTAATAAAAGTCAGTTGTAATGAAGATTGATGTCGTTTTCTATAACTTTTTATAGTTTTACTTTGCAAGTTACTTTCTTAACTTTTGTAATTAGATGAGTTTCGGAAATAACGGTTTCAAGGTCTTCGGTACCCTTTTTTAACACGGTTTGGTGATGAGCGTTCTGATTAAATAACGGGCCGTTTAGGTGCCAATCTTTTGTCAATTGAATTTGGGTCCTTTAGTCCATTTTATTGGAAGATGAGTTCATGTTGAGCGTCGATAGTATTATGCGGTCTGGGAATACACTGTTCTTTTTCTGGTTTACTTTTGACAGTTATATGTAGATATAGTTGCTATCAATCTGGTCTTTTTGTCCGAATGTTTTACACATGAGATTTGTCTTCAAAATCTTTAGCAAGAGATTCGTCGTTTGACAAAATATTATGGAAATATTTCGCCTCGGGTCGCCGGGAAAGTGTGTTAAACAGTTACATAACAATGTCTTAGGACCTCTAGCACGGGGACCTTTTTTGGGAATCTCTTTTTTATCTGAAGGTGATTTTCGCCAAAGGGTCGGTCGGTTGGGACAAGTTTTGAGAGGGACTCCGATCTGAAATAGAAGGCGGAATTTAGGATTTAATTTTTTCTTATGGTTCAAGTTTTATCTTGCAACTTTTATAATGAACAAAAATACTTTTTGTTAGTGATAAAGTGATTTCGTTAGCCAGATATCCTTTATCAGTTTTGGCTTAAATGTGTAATGATAATATACTACTTCCTCCTCCCTGACTTAATATCAACTTAATTCATCAACTTGGGAATCAAATTTATTTGAGTAGTTAGGTGAAACTACGATATTGTACACAGCATCAAGTAAAGCATTTTGATTTCAAAAATACCTACCGTTATACAAGCTTCAATTTCCCTCCAATAACAAAAGCAACAAGAAAAATAAAGAAAATAGAACAAGTACCATTATTTTTCCCATCCAGTAGCGATACGTCAGAAAATATCATATCAAAAAGTTTGACGATAGTACCCGCTGCCGCTCCTCGCTCAACTCTTGAAGTCCGATCGGCGTCCAGGGTCCAATAAACTGACAATTCAATTACAAACAACAGTCTGTACTCCACTGTCCGGTATAGAGCCAAGCCGATTGATTCAGACAATGTACCTCTTCCATACGAAGCGTTTTTTCGTTCTATCTGCTACAAACTCGATTTGACGGTGTATATAGCATTTGATTTGGACAAACATGTTTGGGTTTATCTTGATAAAAAGAAAATATGGGGTGGCGTGCCAGTTCGGAAGGGGAACGCCTATCTCTGTTGTTGCAAAGAGGTGGATTGATTTGTTTTTGAATTTGTTTTGAACGTTTGAACGGTGTATTTTTGAAGAGTGTAGTGCTGTATGGAATGCTTCGTTGTTTTCCTGTGTTGTTTTGCTTGGAATTCAATAGTTCCCGTAGTAAAAATGAAATTCTCTAGAACGTTCAAAAACAGTATAATGTTATTTAATTAAGTCCTACTTGCAATAGAACCGTATTTTTTGTCACGAATCATTGAAGGAATTAAAAGTTATACAGCTTCATTCATCAATTAGGAACTCTTAGAGAAAAATATATTTGAAAAAAAAATTCATACATTTCCTTTCATGTCTGTGGGGGAAGCATAAAGACGTATTTAAAAAATCTCATTACAAAATATCGTTGGTACGGAAATAGTGAGACTACCCACATTTTCGTTGAAAAGAAGCTTGTGACGGAAATTGCTTTTAATATGTCCATTATGTTAATATTAGTCTATCATATAATGTTATCACTGAGGATCAAATTTCCTTTCAAATATTGAGCACAGAAATAGATTTAATTATTATTTAAAAGCTTTTGGATTGAAATGGAAGCGATAGCGGTGAATAGTCGGTTGAGGCCGTTCTTTTTATTCATATACGTCAAATCAAAGCGAATATTAACGCGGGAACAGGACTTTTAATTAGAATATTAACATTAACATTTTTGGGGGCTCTTTTTGCTGTATGCTCATTATTAGTGGTAACTTAGAGGTGTTTCAGGTATGAGATTACTGATTTAAAACTTGGGAAGAACTAATGTGTCTTTTTATAGCCATGTGTAGTTCCTAATAGATTAATGAAATAAGTAAATACTACGGAATACGTCTCTTTTATCATTAATCGTTATACTCATTGACAATGTCACCTAGTGCATAACATAAGCTTCAGTTTAGTTACTAACATCAATTATATATTAAAGTATCTATGTTAGTCTGTAAGGTATGTATCTATGGGATATTGTAGCCTGAAAATAAAGTTAAATTAAATAAAAAAATTAGAAAAATTAAAATATTGTACCTATTTACTACCAATCAAATACACACACAAATAAATATTCCACTCGCTCCCGCTTCCTCTAAAACCATACGCAAATCACGTCAGATTGATAAGGACATATTTTGAAGAATTCTTTTACGAAGAACCCTTAGCGAAGAATATATTTAATGGAATTTCACAGGATTTCCAATCTAAAGTAAAACATACCTAAGTATTTATTCGAAGAATGAGATTTTTCCATGTGAATAGTAACGAACAATGATACTTGCAATTTCTTCTGAGCCTTCTTTGTTGGCCTCAAGTATTTTATTTGAAGAGATGAATCGGAGTGTTATTAATATAATCGTTTCGAGTGATTTGTTTTCTTTGTAACATAGTATTTATGTCATTATTGACGTTATACTACTATTGACTACATCGATAGGAGTACTATAAATTGTCATTAGTCTGTATAGCATACAACTGGAGTAATTGCGCCATCTACCATTATATTTGCGTCCTTCTTTGTCTTTCCTTATATTCACACAAGCCGATTATGAGTCCATGTGTCGTTATACTGAATTAACGTTAATTGAACCCGGCATCGTCTATGCTAAGGAATAAGAATTCGTTGAGACATAGGTACTGGTTTGAAAGACCCATCTCAGACAGTGGATGGACATAGGCTGATTAGAACGATGATGAGGACGCCAAAATGCTATTTACTTAAGTTGTGTATTTCTTGTTGTGCAGGTGAGGGCGACCGCGGGGGCGAGCGGCGACGCGGCGCGGGCGCAGCGGTGTCGCGCGGCATGCGGCGCCGCCCGCTGCTGCCGCTGCTGCTGCTGGCGCTGTTGCGCGCGCACGGCCTGCTCGCCGCGTCCGGAGGTAAGTCGATATAAACCTATATTTAAACAGCCATTTTAACTGTGTAAAAAATTATCTCTTTTTCATTATTGTCAATAAAGTATTTATTATCAAAGTAAGGATCATATTATTGTTTTTATCTTTGTGCATCTTAACGACACAGTTAAAAGCAGAAGAAAATACAGTTTTTTTGATAATAAAAACAGAGCTAAAATAAATTTTGCAAACTACACTGTTCATAATTGCGTTTGTCACATAATAATCAAACAAACCTCTGTACTAGTACACTTTTTCAGACAACACACCTTTAGATGTAAAAATTGATAAACTTACATTTTTTAAATAGTTCTTCAGGCCCTAGCTACCCTGACAAAACACATGTGTCTATTTATTCGCCCCAAAAATAACTTTATTACAAACATCTATCTCCAAGGCAACCTTCCACCAGCCAATTATAAAAATAAAACTATTCACTAATATTAAAGTACACAATCCCCACTAGTGGCCGGTGATAAATGATCGAATGATCACCAGATCACCGTGACTGGCGGGTTTTGTTGCATTAACGTAATTCGCTGCATGACACAGCGTCAGATTAAAGATAAAAGCAATATATTATAGTATGAGAGCCATTGCCATTATTTTATTAATACATAGTTGATCTTCTATGAATTATGTGGTTAGGAGTTCGGGGATATCTTTATTTAAAAAAATCCTGTGTCTTATTTTTTTCTTCTCTTTAAAAGTTAACAATAAATATGTGAAGACTTAGATAACAACATAAACATAACATAACATCACGCCTTTTATCCCCGAAGGGGTAGGCAGAGATGCACATTATGCCACTGTACAATGTAACACCTAGTTTTCACTATATATGTTATGAGTCTCATGTAATAGGGGGTGAGCCTATTCCATATACCGGGCTCATTTCCAGACTCCGTGCTACTACTGAGAATTTTTTAAATCTCAGTAATAGTTTGCCCGACCCGGGAATCGAACCCCTTGGCCGGTAGTCGCACTTGCGACCACTCGGCCAAAGAGGCAGTATATTTTACTCTTTCATAAAAAATCGATATGATGAAATGAAACAAGATGCAGTTGATAAGAAATACTTTAAGTTCAAATAATACACATAGCCATAGGTTCTAAGTAACATACATATTAATAACTTTACTTAATGATTTACTTGTAAATCTTGATAACTTACTTTAATGTATTTAGTTGTGAGTTATTGGTCTACGTATGCCTGAGTTATTGGGATCAATCATATGTTTATGACATCTTCTGTGCCTAGGGATACATTAATGATTATTTATTACATCTATTTATTACTGATACTATCATTGATATATTGAAATGTTAGTAATTATACACTGATTAGGTTTGATTAATAATTTTATTTTGATTATTGATGCTTGCATCAATAAATAATAAATAAACACTTGTGTTTATTTATGATTTTTTTAAGCGAAACGTTGTAATTGGGATAGATTGTACATTAAGATTCATGTTGATTTTATTTCAGTTATAAAATAGAATTTAACCCAAATAAATGTAAAAGTCATGAAATAAATCATCAAATTGCTGTTGAAGTGAAACCAACCACTTAAAAACCAAATAAAATTCGCGCCACTAAAATGCCGCACAACTATTAAACTAATCGCCGAACTCAAATAAAGTATTCAACGAATTTGTTTTACACAAATACTTACTGGTGTCCCAATCAAACTAATGGGCGGTGTCAGTGCAGCGCTGAGCTAAACTGCGGCGCTTCACCGCTTGCGCTCTAAATGCTTTGCGGTACGAGTCGGTGACAAATTGAGTGCACGATGGTGCAGGCTAAGCTTCAGTCTTGGTGTACACGGCATTTTAGGGTGGCTAGGGTGAAAGATGGCGTGTTAGTATTTGAATTGAATATCGCTGTGTGTTGTCTGTAGGTGTAAACCAAATTTATACCCGTCCGACTTCCAATGGAATACGGAGTTTTGCTGAATTTGAAAACGAAGTGATTTCGCTGTACATTTGTCTACGCCATCCTTGATACCTGAATATTTATATACGTAGCACCCAGCACCCACTTTAGAGTATCCATTTGGAAAATATTTCTAGAATTGAATTTGCCTGCCTTTTTCGTGGAATAATCGTAAACTCGAGTACAATACCGGCTATAGCTATAAAGATCTCTGTACACCTGGTATTTTGTAAAATGTATTTTATTTAAGCTTTGCGCTATAGATACGTAAACTTCTATTTAATCCCTCTACAAATAAATCCCTGCACCATTCGTTACTTACTGGGAAATCACGAAAAAACAACAATTACTTTCATGAAGTTTCTAGAAGATTCTCATGGACCTTTAGTTACCAATTCTAACTACAGCGTCAGTTGCAGAGTCACGTCGATTGACGCTGACAAATGATGTGTAAGCCACTGAAGCTGGTCAGAGAAACAAAACGAACAAACGTATCGATTCTTACAGAGAATTTACTAGTAATAGTGCTGCTAGGACGTAGTGTGGCTGGGACATTACAAATTAGCCCGATGTAGATTGATCGAAGGTGTGGAAGGTGCCTTTTCTTGTAATCGTTACTTTTTAGTACTTAGTGTTGCTGGTGGTCTAGTGGCAGTAAATGTGATTGTTATTAATAATCTTTTGAGTTTAGAAATGCATATTGATTTTTACTATTTAAATCTGCAAACTGCCTGGTTGACCCTGTGGTCGCAAGTACGACTGCCGGGCCGGGCAAGGTTCGATTCCCGGGTCGGAATTTACAAAAATCCCAATTAATACTTTATTACTTGGTTTTTACAAATTCTCATTATTAGCCCGGTGTCTGGAATTGTGCCCGGTATATAGCAATAGGCCTACCCCCTATTACATAGGACTCATAACATGAATAGTGAATAGTGGGTGTTACATTGTACAGTGGCATTAAGTGCCGTAATGTGTACATTACATTACAGAGGTGTACCTCTGCCTAACTCTTCGGAGATAAAAGGCGTGATGTTATGTAAATCTGCAACCTAGTCTCGTTTTTGCAGTTTCCTTAAACTGGGTTTATTGGATTCAATGTAAGGTTGGTTACTTTTATAAAATAGGCCGTACAGATAAGTGAATGAAAAGCAACGATATTTAAATAATCTATCTACTTATTAGTGACTAAACATTTGCGCAATTGTAACACTTTTCACCAAAATAAGCTAAAAATATAACCAAAATTCCTCCAAGAACCGTTGTCGCCTAAACATGACACGAGTTAAACAGATTACGTATATGTACACAGCTTAAAAACCCCTCAGGTGATCCTTTCAGGCTCAATTTTTCAGTGAATACAAGGCCAAATCATCAATATCAAGTGTTCCGCGTTGAATGGTGGAGGTTCGACGTTCACGCTGTATAAATGTGGCGGCGTGACAAATGGAGTGTCACGCTGGTGCGAGTCTTAGCGTGTTGGATGTTGGATGCGTGACACTTGTGTGCTATGTCTTTGTGTTTTTGTGGCGAACGTGACGTGGTGGGGGTGAAATGATGTGAAGTAATGTTATTAGGAACTTAGAGGTTAGGGGGTGTTTCCTTGGAAGATATTATGCTAGGAGTAATCAACTGTATGTTATGTGTTATAGATATACATAATATCCAATATAAAGTGCAAAGAAATCGAAAATGGGCATTATTAAGAAAGAAAGAAAGAAATAACTTTATTTCACGCTAAAAATCAAGTGACATGTACAGATGTGTTATTCTGTTAGGTATGGATGGATATATGTTTATATTAAAGGTCGGTAGTGGTTAGCGTAGTATGTAAGATCTTTATAACTATTATTTGACCAGGAAAACAATGTAACTGTAATATGACAAGGGCACAAACACAAATCCGTGGTGAAATGCAATTTATAAATAAAAAAAAAGGTTTCTCTAAAATCATTTACATACTAGCTTCTGCCAGCTGCGTTGCTTACGTTCCTGTGGGATATAAAGTAGCCTATGTATTATTCCGGACCATGATTTCAAATTTTATACTGATCCTTTCAGCTGTTTTGTCGTGAAGAAGTAACAAAGAAACGAACACACTAAGTTTAGCATTTTTTTTAAACTTTGTCCTACATTTGGATTTCGTCCTGTTTCTTGGGTGCGTTTACAAACATACAATTTCACACATACATGACACCCAGACCCGGAACAACAATTTGTGGATCCAAAAAAGAGTTGATCCGTGCTAGAAACGAATCATCGACACGTTGCGTGGAAATAAATTTAATAGAATGAACTTAATGATTATTATTCTATCCACCCAAAGGTTGCCTGGTAGATATCGCTTTTAGCGATAAGGCCGCCTTTGTACCCTATTTTCTTTATTTGTTCCTTGATGTACTGTCTCAAATTGGTGTACAATAAAGATTATTTATTATTATTATTATTAATGACTACAAACAAAATGTACAAAATTTTACGAAAAATATCAGTACCGTCGTTTAGTAAGACAGTGATAGTGACAACCATACCTCCTATAACTTAGACCACATTGTTTCGCCTTCATCTTGCACTGACCGAGTATATTTCCTGCCTCTATTCCAAAGGTCATCTCTATCAGATCTAGAGCAGGCTCTACACTACGTTATAAACCATCAGAGTCATAAATCTTCTAGAGCCTGCACTAAGATATGGTACAGCTGGACTTGTAATATGATAATGCCTCTCTGTGCTTTTTCAACTCTATGTATGTTTTGAGTTGAAAGTAGGGATTTGGGTAAAGATTTTTTTGTTTCATAACCAAATTAAACTGCCAAAAAGTGGTTTTTAGTTTTATTTTGCTAAAATCGTTCGGAAATAAGTTTCAAGGTATCTCAAGGATTATTATTTTGTTACAAGTGGTTTTAATTAATCAATTTCAAGTAATGTCAGTAAAACGTCAACGATAGCACTTCTTGTATCTTTGACAAAATCGTTAATTTCACCACATCACTTATTGGTGTACCACAGCACTCAATGTGTTCTCATTTATACCAAACAATAGCAC